GATACACATCAATAGAATATTCTTTATACAGTATCAATTGTTTTATAAAATTGAAAAGTTGCTCATATACTCATGTAAATTCTTAGACATGAGGATTCTCATTCTTTATTGGAACTCTTGATAATTTACTGAATTGTCAATGATTTTTGTTCCTCCAAAATATTTTGGAACGACTATTATAATTTGACTTTTTTTAAATATCAAATATTCACGAATGAAGAGATGAATAGTTGGGGTGCTCAGTCAAAAAAGGAAGGCAAAAATAAATTATAATATTTATTTTTTACATCTGCCGACGTTTAAATACGTTTAAATCTGCCTTCCTTTTTTGACTGAGCACCCCAACTATTCATCTCTTCATTATCCACGACAGTCAACCAATTACCAATTATGAATCAAATATTCACGTTTGATTTGGTTTAATGTTATTATGTTTATTTTCATGAGTATAGTATTTTTACGACAGATTGCATCCTTGCCGGACTTTGAGTGGATATTTCCTGGTTCTCAGGATAATTTTCTCAGAAGCATTATGAGAATCGATCCTTCAGCAATGACTCAACGGGGCTCACTCACCTTTCGGATTTCCCCGTAACACAGTACCCAAGGAAGGTCACCAAACAGAATCATTTCTTAGCAACTGGTACTTAGGTAGTACTGTAATTCGAAATTGCAAGACCTCCACAAATAACTGTCTGGTTACGTGCTGCTTATTTACAAATGCACTCATAAGTTAACACAACGCCGGTTAAGAAATTTTACAAATCTATTGTTTACAAATTTTAAAAATAAATAATTATGTTACAAATGTTATGGGCATCCCAATCACTGTTATTGTATAATTTTGGTTTATTAAAATAGCATTTAGACTAATTTCAAGTATAAAATAAATGACGAAACGCATGATACTCTTATCATAAATTTTTCACCCAGGTATTATTATGGTTATTATTTATTTTTTTATTGTACTGAATCGAATAGTAAAGTACGTTCGGTAATAGGAATAACTTGAACACTTTTTCTAGTTCATATCCTTTATTAGTATTTTTATTCAAATAAGTTTAAATAAAAATAATAAATAAACTTTGATAAAATTGAAACGAAAATCTGCCATCACAGTATCTTTCAAAAATAGATTTAAATAAAAATACTCTACTTAATAAATAATACAAGGTTATCTTACTCTTGCATAGGTTTATTTAGTGAATTTCCATAGTGATCTAATAATTTTAAAAAATGTTAGTGGATTTGATTTAACGAATAAATTTTATCATAATTTGTGAGTGGATGAATTTTTTGGAGTGCATTATTTAATATAGAGAAAGATGTGAGAGGAAGAGATCCTACTTCAACCCCCCTTCTCCCTCCATATTTAGTACCGTTTTTGATGTGAAAATGTTCAAAAACCTAATCTGGAAAGACAAAGAAATTTTTATAAATGAAAAATATTTAAGGGAAGGAGATGGCCGGAGTGGCGGTCATAAATAGGCTGAATAGTGGCAAAACTATTTTATTAAAATCCAACGCTTCGACCCGACTTTGCGCAGGTCGTTTTATGATTAAAGCCCTCTGGAATCGCTTGAAAATAGAGCATGATATACTTCAAAACCCAAAAAACATGTTTGTACGCATTTTAAAGTCATATAAATTTCGAGTTTTGATAAAAGTCGCGAGTTTTCCCTTACTCGACCCATTGTGTGACACCTTAAATGTACTGACAAGGTTTTCTTTGTTTGACCTGACTTCAAAATATTTTTACATTACAGACATTACTAAATCATTCACTGCCTTATTTTGCTGTAATTCAATGTTTAAAATCATAAAGTCTATCTATGTTTTTTACCAGATAGATAACGTTGTATATATTTACTATTTTAATGGATACTACTTCATTAAGTCAACTGTCTTCTTGGTTGAGACACTGTGGTGTTGCAATTGGAAATGAAGGAATCTTTGTAGTTAGCTTCATCTTCTTCGAAGAAATTGAATTCGCGCTGAGTATTTCATTAGCCCCACCTTCCAAAATAATTGACGAGTTATCTTTATTAAGGCAATAGGCAATCAGTCATGAGCTCTGATTCGATCGTAAAGGACTCCTTAATGGAACAGCTTTCGGGGCTTGTAACATACTGCAGCCAAGGCAGCAACTGTCCCTGTCTCTTTCTTCACCCTGTAGACCGCAAGACAGTACGACTTGATAGTACTGTGACTATGACAGCTATCTTGATAGTACTATTGCACTGTCAGGTTCATTTGATAGCTGACAGAAATCATCTCGGTAGCCACGATTATCAGCACGTTAACTACCACCTGTAGACGACCACCAGTGAACTGTTTAATCTTTATAAAATGTTTACAAAAATAAACTAAATTGGAAATAGAGAAAAATTACAAAATTAAATTAGAGAAAATTGTGTAATTAAAAAAAAATTTGTTGATTTCCTTGGGATTGTTAGTGGTCCAGATTTAATCTATCAATAATTAATTATTAATCAAAATTTCAATAACCCAATGAATAATTGATAATCTAAAAAAAGTTAAAAAGACAATAATTATAATTAATGAAGACCCGTTATATGTACTATGATTTACGTGTATATATATTAATTATTTATATAGAATTAATTTGAAAATAGTCAAATTGAAAACTGCTGCAATGGCTATTTCATAATTTAATTTAATAAAATCTGTAATAAATTTTATTCCTTTCCTTGGGATGGTTCTATGTCGACCATTTTCCCAACTCGCACCAAGTTTACACCAGGAAGTAGACAAAAACACTCTCCTGTTAATACTACCACTGCGGAAATTGTCACTGTGTGAATGAGACGTAAGTAGGGATGCCTAGAAGAGAGTTTCGTGGCGCAAATTGAGCCACAACAGATTTTGAGCGAGGTACATTTTGGAGAGGTTTTGAATTTTTGAGAGAGACACAATTCGACGTTGGCTATGAATCGTCGGAATGAAAAAGTTTCTAACCAGTAAATAGGGAGGAAACATAGAAAAGTATGCAGCAAGTGTAATTTGATATGATCTACAATTTTTCTTATTCTAATTTCGCTTGCACTGTTAAGAAGAGGTGTGCAATAAAATATCCTGTGATGGAAGAGTTCGTGGGCCATTGACCTTGCAGGAGATGGACATCCCTGGGCATAAGGATACTTGTAGTTAATTTATGGTTCACAATATTATTAAAGTTTATGAAAACGGTTTTTTTAAGATATTTTGTTATTAAACCAAACACAAAGAAAGTAAGAAAATTTTTTAGGTTGATATTTTTCCAGCATTAATATGAAACACTCTTTGTTGGCGCTTATTTCTACACATTATATGACAGAAATAGAAACAAATAACAGGAATAAAGTGTTGTAAGTTGAGGTTTTTACGACACATATTACGCAAGAACGGGTCTGTCGTAGGTGAAAGGTCACTCATAGCAGGCAAATAACTAGGTGCGTGTAAAATGAGAGTTTCAAGATATAATAACGAAATTATAACAGTTATTTGATAAATTAATAACAATATTTTTTTTTTAGAAATTTTAACATCTACCTAACTTTACCTTTCACATAGAAACGATTTGCTGTTTATAACGAATTAAAAAGTTTTTTTTATTTTGATTTCAAGAAATGAAACACTTGAAAAATTATGTTAGTACCTACTTTAATTGATAAAGACACTTCAAAAATCGTTTTAATAAAGTATTCATAGGTTAAAAACATGAGGGGTTAAAAACAACAGCCTTTTGTTGTTGAATTAGAAATCACCTTACATAGTAGTGAAGGCGTATAAAGAATAAAAACAAATCAAAATATTTTTAAAGATCAATATACCATATTTCATAAGGTTTAGGCATAATCTCCACCCACAAGGGCCTTGGTTTGCCAATTCTAAAAATGATTTATAAACTTGAAGAGGTATTTACAAATACATTTTACGCAATTAATTATTAATAGTTGTCTAAAAAAAAAGTATGTGGAAAGATATGATCTGGTGAGGTCAGAAAAAAAAATTAATATTAGAAACTATTTATTAAAGTGCATTTCGACCCATTTATGCAAGTCTTCACCACGGCTAGAAAGAACAAGATAAAAAACATAATAAGTGAATAATTTAGAGTAAATAAAAAGTATTAAGGACATTCAAAACTAAATCAAAGTAACTATTATATTATTGAATGAGTTAAAACTATAATTAATTTATTTTATATTTGAATGTCCTTAATAATTTTATTTGATCTGTTAATTATTTTCTTTGTTCCTTTATCATAATATCTTATAACACATTCATTATTAGATATTATGATTATTAAAATAATGCAAGAGTCATAAGATAAAGAAATTAAGAAAATAATTAACATAGTGAATAAAAAAAGAAGTATTAAGGATATTCAAATATAAAATAAATTAACTAAAATTTTAACTTATTCTATTATATAATAGTTACTTTGTTTTATATTTGAATTTCTTGATATTTTTTATTTTCTCAATTTTGTTAGCTTGAGTCTCTATCTCTTCTAACTCTTACAACATTCTATAGTTTTGTATCTTGTTCTTTGTAGCTCTGATGATGAACTGCATAGTTAGGTCATAATGTAGCCTTAATAAATAGTTTCCACTTTTTCAAATTATTTCATAACCACTTTCCCATACCATCTCATTCCTCATCATACAACAGTCAACTATTGAATATCCAATAAAAAAAGTATGTTATCCTCAACTGACATTCCCTATTATTCATTTTAAATTTTTTGTCATTCATTTCATAAAAGTCCAGCTTATTTACTTGATATATCTTGTATAAAAATTGTTAATAATGAATAATAATTACTTCATATTTAATATGGAATGAAATTTTTATTGACACATTTATTTTGTTTATCACCTGTCCTATAAATATCCTTTTGTTTCCGAAGAATATAGTTTTGTGATGACAATTTATAAGTAGGAAAGAGGATAGCTATGAAGATTATTTTTGTTAATTTCTATTTTTCATTACAGCCACATTACACAGACGACGACTTGGGAGGACCCACGGAAATCAGTGCAAGCTCAACAGGCCCAGAGGGCGGAACTCTTGGCTTCTTCCCCGCACCCCTCCACGTCTCCACAGCCCCATGCCACTGGTAAGTCCAATAGCAACCTTATCAATGCATTATTCTATACATTGATTCACTTTTAAAATAGATAAATATAATAACCATATTAATTAAAAATGAATGTTTAACCTAAATAGATGTTAGCTATTGTATTGTTATTGTTTTGAAAAAATAAAATGAGTAGATACTATATTGATTATCCAATATAGCTATTAATCACTATTACTAATCCATGTTGTAAATAAATTCTTTTAGAAATATCGATCACTTAACCATTTACAAAAATAGTATATATATTTGTATTATTAATATTATATATACTCGTTATCACCAACAAAATATTTCAAATTGAAAAAGTTTCACTGTATACATTGTGTGCTATAACTAAACGGATATTTAATGAAGTAATTGCAGACCTCAAGAGCTATTGAATAGGATGCGATATCTAAAAACTTTTTTTGATTTAGGTAAATAACAATTGCTTTGTAGTAAACTAAAAAAAGTCTTTCAGATGTTAGTTACTTTCCCTTAGTTAAAAGCCATTTAATAAAGAGAACTTTTAAGTGGCTAAACTATGCTGTTAATTTTTTTCATAAGCTCATGAATTATTCGCAAACAACTATGGTTAGCTTTATAAGTATGAAAAACATCTAAATTAAAATATTTGTCTTTTATTTTCAATTGTTTGAACTGGTATTGGCTAATTTTTTAAATGAACCATATTTATTTTATTATATATTTTTATTAATTAAGATAAACTTTAATCTGTTTGCTTAAGGTTGAAAGTTTTGATGTTTTCGATGTCCCTAACAGAGCTTAGTTACTAATTACAATGATAATAATAATAGATTATTAAATACTATCAATATTACTCAGTTTATTGTTCCAAAAATATGAAAATATTATAAATGTCTCTCTTTCATTGAAGTATAGAACTAACTCACCTATTCTATATTATATTGCTATTTAGGTTTAGTCAAACCAACAAAAATTTAAAATTTAAAAAGGCATTATAATGTAAATTTATTTCTATAATTAATATAATTTTTTGTTGCATACTGATAAAGAGCTTTTGTTATTTATAAATCACTAAATGTTGATTTAAGGGTCTAAAGGTCTATTGAAAAAACATGAAAATCTGTATTTTTCAGATATATTTAATCTCACAATGTCGCTCATCTCATTATTTAATATTTCAATCAGAGTATCATATAAACGTTTTTAAATAATTTAAAATTATCTCTTCCCATTTCATTGCTCAGCTCATTTCAAAGTCTTCTCACTTTTTCTGAACTATTTACTACGCCACATGCACATAAACATTGATTCGGCCCTGAAATAGTATCTACTAATCTGATTCTGAATATTTCAATGCTACAAATATTCAGTATTTAGGAAAAATCTTTGGTAGCCCTGAGTTTTGTATTCACAAAATCACTTGACTGAATGGGACAGCCTTAAGAAAATAAAATTAATTTACATTATGTTACCAATAATTTACTAGAGCTTAAAACAGTTTTATACTCCAAAGAGAAGCAAGCAAGATTATGCAGCACTCATTGAAGTTTGCCTAGAAGTCTTGAGGCAGTGATTTAAGCAAAAGAAAACAATATTCATTAATAAAAGTTTATTTTCTTGAAAAAATGTTGAATCATGTTTTTAATTTTTATAAATGCAAGCATATTTTTATTTTTTATAAATTTATTTATCTTAATATTACCTCCATATCAACAAAAACATTGTTATAATTAATTTTAACCATTTTCTCTAATGGGTACTTCTTTAAATAGTTTATAAGAGAACTTTGCTTAGTAATTTAATATCTCTCATTAGTTGTTAAAAATAAAAAGTTTTCTTAATTTTTTTTATTTAAATTTAAAAAAAAAATTCATTTATGCTTAATTTACTTTAATTTATGGGAATTAATGTTTGTGGTAATATCATAAAACTAATGATTGTTTATTATTCTGTTCATTTTAATTCATTAAATATTTCAAAAAGCATTTTCTGTAGCTTCCATTGTCACTTCTGTCTGAGAGTTCAAAATTTCATTTAGTCATAAATGGTTTTTACATTGATATCCAACTCATTATTTCAATTTATTATTGAAAGGTTCCTAAACAAAATTTTGATTTTTTATTCTTGTATGAATATGATTCTTGTGAAATTTTTTTTTATACATTATATTTGTTAAGCATTTCGTTTTTATGTTACAATTAAAGGAATTTGTTTTGTTTTGTGTTGATACTATTATTTTTACATATTCACCATTAAGTGCTCCTTTTACTATACAAACATATGCACATTCATATAATCATAAGTTTATCTTCGTGTTTTTGAAAATTTAATGAAATGAAAGTTTTATTAGTAATTTTTTTTGTTTTCCTTATGATATCCCTCAATAACATCTAATGCAAGAAAGAAATAACCTGTGTTGTTACTACTGGTTGTGTGTGTGCGTGGCAGGTAAGAGCAGTGGGAGCAGTAATACAACCAGCGGCCTCGGACCTTTGCCTGACGGATGGGAGCAAGCAGCAACAGCGGAAGGCGAGATTTACTTCATCAATCACCAGGCCAAGACTACTTCATGGTTCGACCCTAGGATACGTGAGTAATTTTTTACCCGCCCGCACAACCTTTTTTAACTATAATTTATAAAAGAAAAACAATTGATGAAGGTATTATTTGCATGTTTTAAGCATGTGTGAAAAATCGTAGCTGAAGTGTATTATTTCACTTACATATAGAAGAAATAAAATAACATTTAAAACTTTTTCTGATTATTCTAATTTTTTTAATTAAAATTAAATATTTTGTAGTCTGGGCATACTGAGGGATTAAATTCTATTCTTCTTTCCAAGTGATAGATTGGTAGACATATTGCCATAAACTAACAAAGTAATTTTCTATATACCTAAGGCTATAAATATTAATAAATTCAGGCTGTTCATGATTCCACATTCAAGACAAAACATACATAGTAGAATCTAGCTTAACCAGTTCTCTAGATTAACTGGTGGTAAAAAGGGAAATGTTTTTTTTTCAGAATTGGCTTGTTTCAGTATTTAAATTATTTTCAGGACTAAATTATTCAAACTAATCGATCACTACACTACAAGAATTGGTAGAAGAATTTGTTTTTATTGACACCGATATTGCAAGTTGACCTGTGAACTTGAGAGAATTAAAGTAGTAACAAACCTATAAAGATTTAAAAGAGTTACAAAAAAGAAATATAAGAAATACTCTATAGCAAGATTCAGCTGATACTATAAAAAACTGAAACAAATAGAAAAAAAAAATACTATATTTTTACAGTTATCGCATATTTCTTCAAGCTAAAGTAGGAATAAAAAATATCAGCAAAAGCTCATAATAATCACTTGCTACAAAATAAAATATATAAACCAACCAATCGATAACCAATACAAAAACTATTAGAACAATAGGAAAACTATAGTTTTTCATGGATGGTAATGTCATTAAAAATGATATTTCTCTCCTTACCATATAAACTCCTCCCTCTTTTCTCTTCATAAATGCATTGGCATCATCCTTTTCCTCTTCTGATTTAAATATTTTATCTTTTCTGATATTAATTATATCTTTTCAATTTTAATATTCAACCTTTATAGAAGTAATTCAATTTTTTTAAATGCATGCAACTGTCTGGATTTGATATTTAAATTATAAATTGTTGAAATAAATTTTAGTAATACTGATTATTGCTATGTTTTGTTTCAGCGGTCCACTTACAACGCACTCCAAGTGCTGGTAATGTGCTACCTGCTTGGCTCCAGCCTGCAGTTGCGCAGTCACAATCATTGCAGGCCACGCAACAGAAACTTAGGCTTCAGTCTCTCCAAATGGAAAGGGAAAGGCTAAAATTAAGGCAGCAGGAAATCATGCGACAGGTCAGTTTAACTGAATTAGTTTTTATTTACTTTTATGCCTGATTTCAATAACATTATTACTCTATTTAAATAAATAATTTATATCTCCTTTTTATGACCGAATACAAAAAAAAAAGAAAACTCTTGGAAAAATATTTGGAACCAAAAGAAAAAAGGGATATCCATGTAAACATTGGCTCAAGGTCTGAGAATATGGGAGTAATAACAGCATTGTTTTAATAATGTTGAACATGCCTAGTTTTGTGCTTGTAAACTATGATTTGCAGACATTATTAGTATTCTGTGCCCATTTAAATAGCCTAAACAGAATATTGAAGACCACATTGCTGCCTTAAAAGCTGTTGAACTCCAGTATTGCAATGTAATATTCTGGGATAAGTTAGAACAGACACAAGGGGTATGAAAGTCGAGGACTGCCGTGCCAGGAGCCAGCTCACCATCATAAACTAATCCTCTGCACCCACCTTTTTGGGTGCAAGCAGTCAAAGCTGTATTGACGTTACCTTGGCTACTCTATCATGTCGAGAAGGATTACTGACATTTTCTGTAAGGTCTGCTACGAGCTCCGACCACAGTACGATAAGGTTTCAAATATGAGGCGAACACCACTGGGGCGAGAAAAGGGTGGGATTCAGCACAAAGATGGCAGATTGGACAAGCTTCACCAGCATGAAGGCAGGAGGGGATGAACCCCACCACCCATGTTGACTGTGATCTGGACTTGCGCGTGGAGGACCAGACAAAGGTCATACATGGCAGGGTCGAAGGCAGGAAGGCAGCACTCCAGGAGGAATGCAGAGGCATTCAGAACAGATACAAGGGCGGATTGAGATGTCAGAAAACGATGTTCTGGGACAAGTTCATAAGAACGGAAACTGAGGAGAATCTCTGGGGGAATATCATACAGGGTGACAATGGATAAGCTTAGACCAGCCCAAGTAATTGCAGCGATAAGATCGGAAGGAGGACCTGCAGCCAGCCTGAGGAAACGGTTATAAGATACCTAAATCAGATGTACCCCATCTCAGGATAACGAGGATGATAAGGCCCTACTACAGGCAACAGATTATCCGCCTGGTACTGAGATTACTCCACCATGGGACGTACGGGATCTGCGGATGGCGATAGACAGACAGGCAAAGGATAGGAAGAGATCTAGGACTCGACACCATTCACACAGCGATCCTAACGAGGAGTGCCCCCCTACATAGAAGAAGAAATACTGGAAATAATGAAAGCTTGTTTGGATAAGGGGCACCTCTCGACACAATGAAAGGTCGCCAACCTCAGACTGCTGTATAAGGGGAGAAGCAAAGACAAGAGTTATCAAAGTCATAGAGGTGGGCAATGAGTCACTTGAGGCAGTACAGTTCTATAAAAGGGCTCAGCACCGGAGATGCTCTAATGGAACTGCGCAGAGACGTAAATGACAGGGCGGAGAGGTATGTCATGATGGTCCTGTTTAACATATCATCCGCCTTTGATAGTGTATGGTGGTCCTGCGTATTCCAGTGCCTCCAGCAGTTTGATACCCTCAGCAACTTATACTCCTTCATGAGAGGATACCTCAGCAATAGGAAAGTAGATAAGGGTACCTTCTATGAGGTCGAGTGAGAAATTGTAAGATGATGCCCGCAGGACTCAGTTCTGTGACGGATCCTGTGGAAGTTGGTGTTTGACCTATTGCTGGGTGGGCTTCGGCGTCATATTATGCATGGGTAACCTGGCCGGCTTTGTGGCAGTGAACATCAGGGTAAGATTGGTGGCGGAAGGAGAGAGTCAATAGTCAAAGTATGGTGTGGAAGAAAAGAATGAAGGTGGTGGCGGCAAAGAATCAGGCCATGTTGCTGAAAGGCTCCACAGACAGGGCTCACCCTATCAGTCTCAGAGTCGGAGGGGAAAGAGTCCGCCTGGATGAGGAGGTTACCTACCTAGGCGTGAGGTTTAAAATGAAGTTCTTGTTTCTCCCCAGATTGAACACTTGCCATGGGCGTTATTATTCAATGGCATTCTTAAATTACAGAGAGATGGGAAAAATGTATAACTAGTAGTATGTATAACTAGTGATAGACAATATTTTGAATACACTTTTTAACATTTTTATGAAACCAACGTGCTTACGAAAATTTTGGTTTTTTATTTACTCAGCTGGTATATCAAGTTGTTCCTCATTAAATAACTCTTAATAAATAGACTATTAAAATGCCCAACAATTTTATATTAATTTATTAGGAAATACCAATAGACTAATAAGAAATATGGCTAAAGTTAAATCATCCCTGAATATAATAAAGAGACTAAAATGGAACTGAATGAGAGATCTTTCTTAACTAAGAAGACTAATTAAGTCAAGTCAGATAAAAGGTGCTGCTGGATAATATCCTTCCCCATGACCTGATATGTGATTATTTCCTATTATTAGGGAACCCGAAGGTTCGATGTCGAAAACACCAATCCCTGTCTACACACCTCCCTACCCACCAATCCCCGCCTACACACCTCCTTTCACCAATCCCCATCCAAACCCAATCCTCACTGAACCAGCATGCATAGCGTATATTAACTTATTAAGAATTCTTTCGTTACTAAGCCCAACAATTTTACATGCCCATTTTATATGCTGCATTGTAATTACTTCAATTATATTAACCAGGTACAGTTCACACAATTCAGCCTTGTGTAATGTCTAAATTCTCTAGTTGACTCAGTCTCCTTTGGTCCAAATATTCTATGCAATACTTTATTTTGAAAAACTTTAAGGTATTGCTCATCCTGTAATGTAAGCTGCCACATTTACATCCATAGGAAACCGTAGGCAGGGCATTGATTTTGTAAATTTAAATTTTTTAAGTTTCGGTACAGAAGGTGCGAGCTGAGTAATTTTGTCACAGAAAAAATAACAAGCATTTCCCACCTTCAGCTTAACCTTAATTTCTTCTTCAACTTCGTTTTTCTTAGTTATCGTAGACATTTTCATGTAGATGCACAGTAGACATTTACAAATTTTATCAATGGGATCTTTTGCTGATAGTCAAAAAACATTTATGATGGTAATATTATATAAATAAATTATTATAAATATTAATATAAGCATGTTTATATCAAACATATAAATTGGATATAGATGTCTATGAGGAAGACATAACCAGTCAAAATATTATCATAATTTATCATAATTTGTATTGTTTTTATATTAAATAAGTTTTGTAGATTAAACTATTGAATTCATTATATATATATATATATATATATATATATATAGAATGTATTTAATGGAATAACTCCTTGTTACAGCAAGAGTTAATGCTAAGGGATGCACCAAGTAGTGGGCTGGTGGACCCATTTCTTTCGTCACTTACAGATCATTCCCGACAGGAATCAGCTGACTCAGGTCTTGGTCTTGGCAACTCGTACTCCTTACCACACACTCCCGATGATTTCCTTAATATTGATGACAATATGGATGGAGTCTCAGGTATGTATATCTCTTCTATTTAAAGAGTATAAGAGGATGTTATGAAAATAATTTCCCCCCTGTTATTGGTAATTTAATATTAAGTAGTTTATCACATTAAATATAATTTTAGGAAGGAGGATTTTTTTTATAGAATATGAGTGGATAAAATAATTTATTATTCAATAAAATACCATATTAGCTCAAATGTAGGCCGATCCTCCCAACCCACTTATATCACAAGAAACTTCATACCATAAACATGGTAATACTGCTCTCAGTTACTGAAGGATAAGAAACTGCAGATAGTGGTCAAAAAGCTTTTTCTGCAGTGCATCACACATTACTTAATGGAACAAAGATCTCAAAGCACAGGCGGATCTACGGGGGAGGGGAGCTTTCGGGCTGAAAATGGTAAAATATAGCCATGTTTTATCGAAAAAAAATATTAAAAAAGTATCTCTTAAAGTATTATTGTTTGTGTAATTTCATTTAAAGGGGCTTTAGGAATCACTTAAACACCATTTCATACAGGTAGTTTGTTTCTTTCATCTATTCCAAATTAATTATCATTATTTTTGTGAAAAAAAACCGCTTTCGGGCTGAAGCCCCCCAAAAATTAAATCCTGGATCCGCTGGTGTCTCAAAGGGGCATCTGTGAAGTGTCCAGATTTTCAAAACATTGATGAACAAGTTTTCCTCCTTTGAGGTCACGTATAGTCATCAAGAAAATTGAAATCTGTGTCCTGGTTTGAAGAATGTACTCCTCTATAATTTCTTGAACATAACAAAGAGCAATGAGATTACCGTCTACAATATGAAGTAGAATCTGTCCTGAGTTGATGCCAGTTCATACCACCAACCTCTCACCTCTAGACTGCATTGAAGGAAGCATAAACTGTGGCAGTGAACCCTTTTCCTCTTCTCGGATGACTATTCAGCACCTAAGATTGCTGTAAACATAATAATGCGACTCTGTGAATATAACAGCACTCCCAATTAGTAGCCTCATCTATGTGCTCGATGCACCATAATCTGCAGAGTTGCCGGTGACGCACTGTTGCTGCAAATTGTCGTAAAGGGTCATAAGATGTCAGATCAACTTATCACTTGCAATTATGAATGATTTGAGTTCATATGGACCTTTGCAGAACATTAGGTACTTCATTTAGGCTCTGCCAGGCACTATGAACTACATGAAATATGAAGTGGCAACTTCCTAGAGGAAGGTTCCTATATCTACCCATTCCAATCTAGCATTCATTCTGCCCTCCTTAAAATAACTCATGATCTCCAAATTTCCATTTAACATCAAAACCTTACAATCCTCATACTTCAAGAATTTTCCAAAGTGTTTGTCCAATGGTGACAAAGTTGACCATAACATATTTTTTACTAAATTGCAAAATCTTCATCTATCCTACATTGCCCTGTGTTTTTTCAAATAATTCCTCTCTAATCAATCTCAGTATGTAGCCATCCCAGGTCAATCTCAATTTAAGACAATTCCCCTCTCATGTGGTGTCCCTAAAGGTTCACTCCTCCCTCTCCCCTACTCTGTTTGCTATTTACATTAATGACCTTCCCCTCTTGATCCATCCCTCCCAATACCATATCTATCCAGACAATTTCCAAATATACCTGTCCTTCCTGCCTGCTGACCTATATAGAATTTGTGACTGGTTGAGAACTAACAAGTTAAAGTTGAATGCGGAGAACATGAAGGCAATCTTAATGGGCTCCGATCACTTCCTTAAAACTGTTCCTAATATTCCTACCCTGTTCTTAAATGATAATCCCATCAAATTTTATCCCACCATCAAAAACCTTGGAATAACCTTTGATCAAATGCTTTCCTGGAAAAACCATGTACCCAGTATCTCCCATCAAATCAATTAAGCAACCATTTGATCATAGAGTTCTACACCACACAAAATTACTTTGGAATATAGAAAATCTTGGCTCCACTGTACCTAAATTGGTGGTAGCTATTTAGACAATATCTGGTACTACTTCACTAGCAGGCCGGGTCGAAACCTCACTTCTTATCTTTGTTATCTAACGTCACATCACATAATCTCCCTCTTCTTATCCCTCCAAACCTTTCAGTTATTACATTGTTTATTTTTCAGTTATTCCGTTCACTTATTAAATTCTTTATTTTTGGCCCATTTGAGTTTATTTTTCATTTTTTTTTTTTCGTCAATGTTCTTTAAGTGTTTTTTTTATTATTTCATTTTGATCTTTTATATATTATACGATTATGGGGCTCAGCTAAGTGGAGAAATAAAATACATAGAGGAACTGCCAGACAACACCTCGATTCATATTTATGCGAATTTTTGTGGCGGCGGGTTCATAAAAAAGAGGACCCGTTCCTCGCTATTTTAAGTAGCATAAAACTATTTTGCCTACCAAAATAAATTAGACAAAGTGAAAAGAAATTGTACATATGTCGTTTAGTGTTGATATTTTTTCTTTTATATGTACATATGTTCTTTAAGTGTTTTTTTTATTATTTCATTAATATATGTGTCGTAAAATAAAAGTTTTTTTTTTTTGTTATTACATTTGTTTTTGTTTCTGTTTACACTTTCAACAATACGAATATAATACAATAATATGAAGATAGGAATTACGAGAAGGCTTATCACTGCCTTATCGGAATTATCAGTGTTCAGGTTATAAACATTGGCAGATAGCAGTCAGTCCCGGCCTGCTAGTGAAGAAGTACCCAATATCATTGTTATTTAATTTATTATTATTCATTTTATTTATTAATTTTTATTTGTGTATGGGTTTTATGCAGTGATTTGTTTTATTTTGTAGAAGGTGGAACCGGTGACATCCCCTCGCTGGACTCTCATGAAATCACTTCACTGAGTGATAACATTGATTCAACCGATGACCTCGTACCTTCCCTTCAGGTTAGTAGTTTATTTAATTTAAAAGTAAGTAAAAGTATTTAGCAGAGAGTAACACTTTATAAAAAGAAATGCTTCCCCAATTATATTAGATTGATGAAAATTTAAAATTTAATTACAGAATTTTATAATAGAAATTTCATACAAATTAATCAAAAACAAAACAAATAATTGTATTTTGGTCTAAGAAATTTAGAGATCTTTATATTGGTTCACATTACACCTGCACTATCTTCTCTTTTTTCCAGAGCATGAGTATAAAAAAAAGTATATTAATTAAGAAATTTGGAAGAACTTCACTAGATAATCATTTGTTGAGCACTATGGCCACATTGTTGATTTATTGTAAAAAGTCACTAAATACATTTTTGATGAAGCTGAACTTTTAAAGATTAAAAATTCGTGGACATTACAATTACATCAAATATAGTGTCAACAAGCACAGAATTTCTTAATTTTTCAACAGGAAAATTTATCGAAATACTTAGTGGTTAAAGATTTTGAAATGTCACTAAATGGCTTTTTCAGCTAACCCAATGTTTTACCCAGGTGGTACTATGGTATGTCAGTCATTTATTTCACAAAATTATTGAAAAAAAACCTAACCTTTATTCCCAGAAGAGCTTGCATCATTACCAGAATAAACTATAAGATAACCAGATCAAGGAGATATCCTTAACACAAGAAATTTTGTCAACATATCAAAACTTACTGAAAGTAGTAAACATTTTTTCTATAAGGAAATGTTCAAATCAATTTATTGAAAAACGTAAACGTGCACCATCATCTGAGCTCATATAATCCACTGATAAATGAAAAAAAAAAATTACTTGGAATGTTTTGGCAATTTTTTCTCTGACAATAGTAATTATAAAAAAAGAAACCTTCATATAATAGATATAATGTAATAGAAGTTAGACTGTCTTTTCGTTTCTTTTTAAAATTTTCTATGTTTCTTTATTTAATAATATTAACATTGCTGTTTCCTTTCTTTGACATATTATTGATTTTGTTATTCTATATATTACAGCTTGGAGAAGAGTTTACAAGTGATATCTTGGACGATGTTCAGTCATTGATAAACCCCACATCTAAAGCTGGAAACTTGACATGGCTTTAGCTACTGTTACCTTCTCAGGATGATTATATAATAATTGTTATTTATTATACGTTCCGCCGCTGTCTACGCTCAGCTGAGCAACAAAAATATGTTTTATTGCCAGAATGACAAATGGAGAAATAATAAGGGAAGCGTTACTAATGGCAGGTCGTTAATTGAGCCTACTCCTCCCATCAGTTGCCAATGATAACTGTCTATTGGGAGGAAAATAGTTAAGGTTACAACTCACTTCATTTATCCAAAATTATTTGGACTGATAGTGAGTCCAGTGCCATCCACCATTACGCCGGGCCCAATCCATCTTGCAAAATCATTCCGATACCATTTAAAGTTAACTTATTTCTGAAAGACATTCTAATTCTCAGGCCTTCTTAGTTTAGTAACAACTAAATTTCTACAAGTGAAAACACATAAATGATTTGCCAAAAATTACTTATATTTTTTAATTTTTTGGCAACTAGATATCTTTTAACTCATCAAAGTGTTTGTGTTATCGTTAAAAAAATTAATTGTAATTTTTATTGTCATACTCTAGATAGTAATTATGACAATAAATAAATATAAAATTTACCAAAAATAATAAAATATACTTCATTATTTGGCCAATAGAAATAAATTTATGGGAAAATTATTAACAAGTTATATTCATGAAAAAATTCTAGAAAATTAAATTAAATTTGATTGAAAGGCATCTGGAAATTAAAAATATATGAATTATATATTTTAAATTTTACTATCAATAACTCTAAAATTAACTACATTCAATTTTTCCATTTATTTTTTATTTTTCAAAACCTGCTTAATGTCTTTTAGAAGAACCTGTAGTGATTTTAAATAATTTAATTTAGCTTTGAAGTATTTTTTCGATATTCAGTATTATTATTTTATCTTTTTTATTTATCTATGTTTATTTTTTGTTGTACAGTCAGTAACATCAGAATAGATGAAAGCATTTTAGTATTAGTAGAATATCAATGAGTTATGGAAAATTAAACAATAATTTTTATTTGTTACCATATTTGCTCATGTTTTGGGACTGGTGTGATGCTAGATTTGTTACTGTGATAATCAGTAGCTTTTGCTAAATCAAAGTTTGGATTTCATTTTGTAGAGTTGAAACGCTTTCCTTGCTTGTATTCATTTGACTCTTATTTCATTTTATAATTTTTTTTTATTGCTATTGTTATTTTACTTAGAACCACTGTAATGTGTAACATTAACAAGTGAAAATAACTTAGAAATGGAAAATAAATTGAATAAATGTTAAAAAACTTAATTGAAAGAAGATGGAGCATAGCGGTAGTGGTCGTAGAGACTTGAGACATGTCTTTAATAACATAATGTTATTTTTTATTAACCAAAATCCATCCTTCTATGTGCCTTACCTTTTTTTATTATTATTTAAATTTTTTATGTATGTGACTCTTAAAGCTTGTGATAAAAGCAATTTTAAATTTTATCATTTATGTTATATAAATATATATTTATTTTTAGTCAGTTCAAGTTTAAATTCATTGATTTGATTCTTAATGAATAATTTAAATAAAAAAAGTTTACATATTACATAAAACTTTATTTGATGGATTGAATATTACGTATGTTATTTTAACAGGTGTGACAATAAATTTTTATTTCTTATAATTTAAACTTGGATTGACCAATTATAAATGGAGAAGAGCTTTGACAAATTTGTCCTGCTCTCTCATTGTGTAAATATTGTGTTTATTATGTGCCTTCTCTCGTACAAGTGCCTTCATATTAATATTAATAAATAATTTCTTATATGTTATCTATAAGTATATTATGTTGTCCTTATATCATATGTTATTATTTTATGATATGTTATTATTACTTAGGCCAAATGTACAAGTTGAGTTATATTATAATAGCCGACAAAAGAACAAGGGTTCAGTTCACCTGTCTCTAAATATTTGTAAGCCTTTTATTATAGAACCAAAAAATTGTCAATGTCATGTATAGCCTGTCTATTCACTTATCATTAATTATATTTGTACATCAATGTATATGACTACTTATAATTAATTACTTTATTTTCTTATTTCGTGTGTTTTTTTTATACTTGTAATAAGCATATGTAATTAATTGTATTTCAGTGAAGTGTGTAGCCCTAAATTTCCTTATTATACTTAACCTTTTTCCTCAGTGTGCCCAAGACTTAACCAGTGAAAAATAACTGGTCACTTCTTAATTTTGAAGTTTTTAGTTTGGTCTCTGTTTCATCAGGATGAGAATGTGATTAATTTCTATAAATAATTTTACTTCCTAATTGTGAATATTTAATTTAATCAGTTTAAAGTTAATCGGTAAATAATGCGGGTCATTATATTAAACTGTTCTTGCATCTTTTGTCTTTGTTATAAATTTTTATGATAAGTTATGTGCATTTGAAGATATTAATTTAACATTGTATATATATATATATATATATATATATATACATACACCAACACATATATATATTTTATAAAAATACATTTGAAAGTTATAACAGTTGTTTTATAATGTGTTGCAACTCTTTTATTTCACATTACAAGCTTATTTGTATAATTTTAGATTGTAATTGTTTAATAATGAGTTTAAATATTTTATAATTCTGTTGTGTATACAGATGAAATAAATTGTTTTATTTGAAAATTATTCACTAAATAATTTACTTAGATATAAGCCCTCTGTTTGTTTCATTTTCCTAATAGCAAAATATGATACAAAAATCAAATTTGCTATTATTATTTTCAATAATAATTGAATTGTGATAAGAGGCCTGTTTCATAACTAAGTCAACTAAATCAAAACATAATTTTTATCTATTTATTCCTCTTTTTTCAGTAAAAAATATAGAAGAAAGATTTCTGACATCATTGCTGCACAAACATAATTTAATACAATATCATGACCGATACAGTTACCTTCTAGAATACAAATTAACATTTGAAATATTAATCTATAAAATCTTCAATCTCATTTACTGAAGGAGGTAATATTTATTGGAGCAAAGTATCCCTCAATTCTGATGCAAAGTTACCTGCAGTCACATTCACATTTTTATAATTTGTATTTGTCCATGATATCTCAACGGATGTTAGTTTGTCGTTTTAACGGACCAAGCTGCATTAACGTGATCACTAAAGTGAAAGACCCCAGCTCCAGACTAATGCGCAGGCAAATAAAGCTTACCGAATTTGATTTAAAAGGATGGAATAAGCGTGGTAACCTTTATAGGAATGCTGACGCCTTAAGTAGAGCATTCTTCACTTTCTCTGCCTTCTCGATTAGAAAGTAAAAATTAAAAGTTTACATTTAGTAAGAAAATTTTATTTAATTTCCTTGAAAATATGTTATTATTTATATATTTTTCGCCACTCTTCGTTACCTTCTACAACTTTCTACATTAGATATTGTTTTTTCTAAAATTCATTGCTTTCCAACTATATATTGTACGTATACCTTCTGACCAGTATTTCCGGAGATTCATTTTCGACCTGTATAAGAATTTTTATTTTTTTCTCCGTTATTTAATTATTAAATTCTACCAAAATTTATGTTTAGCATTTTTCCATAACTTCTAACAATGATAAACAGTTATTGTTTATAATAAACCAAATTAAAGGTACTTTAGAGGAAGATATGATAATGTTGGGATTTCACAAAGGGAAAATTCATCAAATTATTCACTAATTTAATTTTCTAAAAAGTTACATACCAATTTTTCGGAATAAACGTTGACACCTAATTATTTAAATATAATATCAGATCTATAATCACTAAACTACAGTAAATATATTTAAGGTTATGAAGATATGCTTTATACATCCATGAAATGATTTTATATTTTACTTCTTCTTTCACACAAGTAGAATGAAATAGTTTTTTTAACAATGCTGTAGCCTTTATTAGGTGGATTTTAAATACTTTCTACAAACGTAAAAATATTTTTTAAAGTTTATATTTAGTTAGTAAATTTCATTTAATTTCCTTGAAAACATATTTTCAAGGAAATTAAATAAAATTATCTTACTAAATGTAAACTTTTAATTTTTATATGTAATATATAGTGAGTGAATTACTTTCATTTACCTATATAGGTAATATATAGTTGGTATAAGTAAGTATTACAATCGTGAACATTTTTTTTCAACGGAAATACATGTTTTGAGGACCCTTGAGTCCAAATAACCAAGCCCCACAATATGATCTGTGTGTGCGTGTATGTTAACAGTCTACCTCAGAACCGAAAAGTCGTACGAAACTGATATTACATATTTAAGATAGATGTATGCCTTAGATGTGACTACAACTTTTTCCTTGAAACTAGCTGACCGAAAGTGCTACTTTATATCAACGCTGAAACACATTTTTAGAATTTTCTCAAAAATGGCTCTAACGATTTTGATTAAACTCGGTGTATGATTGTATAACTAAGTGGTCTTTGATATCATTTAGGTCTTATGTTACTTTATGTTAATGTTAATATCACTTTACAGAGCTCAAATGCACAATGTTCATATGCGTCTTCCTCTAAAGTACCTTTAATATGGTTTATTTTAAATAATCAACTATCTCTGATTATTGATTATTAAAATTTACGAAAAAATGCTTAAATATAGCTTTTGAAAGAATTTGATAATTGAATAAAGGAGAAAAAAAAATAAAAATGCTTATACAGGTCGAAAATAAATCTCCGGAAATAAAAGTCAGAAGGAATACTTACAATGTATCATTGGAAAGCGGTGAATTTTATAAAAAACAATATCTAATATAGAAAGTTGTAGAAGATGACAGAGAGCGGCAAAAAAATAATAATTATTGAAAACTGATAATATTTAACGTAAATCAAATGTTTTCAAGGAAATTAAACGAAAATTACCAACTAAATGTAAACTCTAAAACATATGTTTACGTTTGTAGAAAATATTTAAAATCCAACTAATCAAGGCAATGGCATTATTAAAAAAACTATTTCATCGTACTTGTGTGAAAGAAGAAGTAAAATATAAAATCATTTCATGGATGTATAAAGCATATGTTTATAACCTAAAATACATTTGCTGTAGTTTAGTGATTATAGATCTGATATTATATTTAAATAATTAGGTATCAACGTTTATTCCGAAACTTTTAAGAAAATTAAATTAGTGAATAATTTGATGAATCTTCCCTTTGTGATATTCCAACAGTATCGAATACTATTTCATTGTACTTCTGTGAAAGAAGCAATGTACTTCATATTAACACCAAGATCCTCCCCGAAGCTTCCTATTGAATTCCATATAATTCCATCAGCACCAAACCAATGACCTCTCATGTTGAAGTCCCAATCGACGAAACTCTTGAGTTAGGTGCCTTAAGTCTTCATAGTCCTAGTGAGTGTCTTAAGTATCTTCACTCTGACTTCAGTTTTCTCAATTGTAAATTGAGTTGATAGAGAGATTAATTAATATTAATAGTTTATTCTATCATATGACACACAAATAGACCTATATGCCTCCTATCTGTGGTGATCAAGGTCCTGGAGGTCCTCATGATATCCAGTCATGACCTGTTTCTGATCAAGCAAGCCATCCACGGCAACACAGTTCGACCAGAGGCAGAGGAACCAGTAATGCCCTGCTGAGAGTGGGCTTGAATGTTGAAACAAGACGGCACATGATGCTTCTACTTTTCGATATATCCTCCCCCATTGATAGTATGTGGTGGCCAAGTGTACTCCAGCAGCTGCAGAGGTACAATGCTCCCAGCCAAATGAAGATTAGAGGGAGTTATTACGAGGTAAAAGCTTCCATAGAGAGAGAGAGAGGGATCATTCCTGGATCCTGCTCTTTGGAAGCTTTTATTTGATGGGTTACTGGTAGTGTAAGAGGAGGAGCGGTTTCCTGCTACTGCGTACGTAGATAACCTAGCTGTTGTGGGAGACTCAAAAACATGTTCCATCTCCGATGAGATGGAACCGGATAAGGATAACAAAGTCGAATCAGCTGAGCCTTTTCAATATGTGCCTCTTCATGCGCTCTCTGCCGAGTAGGATAACCACGCTATACCCGCTTCGGACACACACCACCTTCCGAGGTCAAATCAAAATCACACGGCTCCGAAAAGATTTTCATCTTGCTGAGCGAGGGTAATTTTGATGGTCCCTCCTTTTCCAAAGGGAATGATGTGATTCCAAAGGGATGTGAGGGGGGCACCTAAAGAGTAAGACTATCTACTGGACAACACGGCCGGACGACAGATGGCAGAAGCGAGAAAAGTTGCGGTAGACAAAGTGAAGGGTGATTGTTTAAATCAACTTCTTGAAAAAACTATTTGCTCAAGTTTATACGTTGTTAACTGTGAGTTGTGAGCTATTATAATAATTTAATCGTTAAAATATGTTTGTTTTGAAATTCAAGCATTTTTAAGTCTGTCATCCCTTATAATGATTATAAACAGTTTATAGAATAAGTGATTATATTTTAATAAATTGTTTAATGGTAATATTATTGATTTTTCTAGATTAACGTAATATTTGCTTTCAGTTTTTCATAGTTGAGGCTCTGCTAACACAAAAACAACTTAGGTTAATTCATTTTAAATTATTTTGTTAATTTTTATTGATTATCATTAAACAAGAAATATAACAATCGAAGTTTTTTATACTTTTGCTTACTAGGTATTCTTTACTTTCGCATTCTTGTTAGTCTTTAAGTAGGAAATTGCCACAGCGAGGAAATTGCTTAGGAACTGGTTTTAGCTCTGAATTTTTTCCAACTTTATAGACAACAGCCATTCCAGAATCCATGTGGAATCCAAAATTGCAGTGTAGCAGCCAATAACCTACAATAGAATTTCAATAGTCTGTATATATGTGTATTTATTTTAATTACTACAAACTAAAAATTTTCTCAGTTTTAGTCATTTTTAAACTTTTTACATTTAAAATTAAAATCTAACATATGTCTATTATAGGCCATAGGTCACCAAAAAAAACACAGTTTTTTTATATATTACATGTATGTTTATTCCAACGTTTCGGCTTCAGGAGCCATTTTCAAGAACCTGCAAACTAAATTTTAATTTACTTTTTATCATTCAAGTATAGCCTCAGACAATAAACTTGTATCATTCACCTACCATGCACCGAGCCATAAAATTTTTAAAATTTGTCATTACGATATGACTCGTCCTAATTCATTCTTTTATTTCAAAGAATGTCGTTTTCTGTTTCTAAAAATTATAATATATAATTATAAATTAAAAATAGACTGCTATAATTAATTTAAAATTTTTAATTTTTGATTTATATACCTCTATTAGCAGACGGTATCAAGAAAGTATTGTTCTTCAATAGGGCATTCATACAGGACTGGATTTACTTACATAAGGAGTGGGGTGGAGGGATTAGTGATCAGCTGTTTTATATCAGTATGTTATATATTAGGGAGCGGGGTAGCTCAGTGGTAGGGGACTGAGCTTCTAATGCAAAAGTCCGGAGTTCGAACCCCGGCTCATGGCAGAAAATTTATTTATCTGTTTCATTGGCCGTGGGGCGACCTTGGGTCAGAAGTCCCTCCTGGGGCACACCCAGCCTCTATGAAGTGGGTACCCTTAATTAAATAATTGATTAAGGGGGAAAACCTGGCGGTTGAGCGTGATCTCGGTCAAGTCACCTCCTTGCACAACCGTTGACCTAGAAACAGTGCTCTCCCTAAATAGTACTGAACCCTCTGGGGGTCTGCCCTTCATGGGTTGTAGTGGTACAGGTTGTTATATATTAATTTTGTCAATTGTGCTAGCATAAAACGTGTTTAAATTATCAACATCTGTCTGTTGATTCACTGAATGTTTTAGATTTTTATAGATAAAAACAGATTCACTGATTCTACGTTTCCCAATATTTTGTTCTCTATGCAACACGGAAGCAGTACCGATACCGTCTGCAAATAGAGGTTTATAAATCGAAAATTAAAAATTTTAAATTAATTATAGCAGTCTATTTTTAATTTATAATTATATATTATAATTTTTAGAAACATAAAACGACATTCTTTGAAATAAAAGAATGAATTAGGACGAGTCATATCGTAATGACAACTTTTAAAAATTTTATGGCGCGGTGCATGGTAGGTGAATGATACAAGTTTATTGTCTGAGGCTATACTTAAATGATAAAAAGTAAATTAAAATTTAGTTTGCAGGTTCTTGAAAATGGCTCCTGAAGCCGAAACGTTGGAATAAACATACATGTAATATATAAAAAAACTGTGTTTTTTTTTTGGTGACCTATGGCCTATAATAGACATATGTTAGATTATGAGAAAATGGCACCAAACCCGAAGGATGGGACTAGAAAATTTAAAATTATAATATTTTATAAAAATAAAATTATATAAATAATCATTTATTAACTAACGATGATGTATTAACTTTTATTTCTCACTTACCGATATATAAAATAAACTGCTTAAAAATAAATAGGGATATTCTTAGTATTGTATGATTTAATTTCTCTAGAATTTTTATTTTATTTATATTATAACTAAAGGGGCACCCATTGCCCACTTGACGGCGAAGCAGTTCCCTTTTAGTCCGGGATCTACAGAAGATTTAACCACGTGATCAACGGTAGAAGGTTTGGAAATTGAAAACAGTAGAGATTACAACCCTAATGCCAAAACCCCTCGAGTCAGATGGCTAATTGGAAACGTTTGGCTATGGTAGAATTTCAAAAATTGCTAAAAATTACGTGATCAGCAGCAGGAAAAAAAACCTACTGGAATAGTTTCAGACAACTCTGTAGATGACAAATTTAAAAAAGCCAGACAACATATTGGAAGCTTCATACGAATCTGACAGCTTTAAAAATCACAAAAATTATGTGATCAGCAGCAGGCAAAAAAATAATTGGAATAGTTTCAGACCACTTTGTAGGGAACGGATTTAATTAAGTCAGACAAAATTTTGGAAGCTTTATACGAATCAGACAGATTTGCAAATCCCAAAAGATCTCAGAAATTACAGCTTTAAAAATTACAAAAAGTGCCAAAAATTACGTGATCAGCAGCAGGCAAAAAAATAATTGGAATAGTTTCAGACCACTTTGTAGGGAACAGATTTAATTAAGTCAGACAACATTTTGGAAGCTTTATACGAATCTGACAGCTTTAAAAATCCTAAAAGATCCCAGAAATTAAAGTGCCAAAAATTAGGATTTGGAACTAATGTATATAATGCACGGTCTCCGTGCAACTAGCCAGATCAAAGTGCTGCGCGGTGTACCCCTAGGCGGCCCCCTGTAGTCTTCACCCTTCAACCTGGCCTTTGATCAACTCTACTGCGACCTGTGCGATGAGGACTTTTCCAAGGAATTTGGATACACATTAAAAAATGAGCAGGATTGTGTGGTCCTCATAGATTTCGCGGATGACCAGGCTGTGTCGGCGCGAGACAAGGGGGCTGCAGAAAGAGTGATTGACAGCATACAGAGGACATTTAAAGAAATTGGTCTGGCTATAAATCCTCAAAAAAGTATGGGCATCGTTATAAATAAAGGAGAGCTGGAAACTACGGTGCTCTGCCTTGAGAATGGTAAGTACATCCAAACATTGAAGAATGGAGATACGATTAAGTATTTAGGATGTACATTCTCGTGAGAGCTACAATTCAACGAAGATTCGGTGACTAAATTGAATGATAATTTAAACAAGCTGGTAACCTCTTGCTTACTCAAACCTGAGCAGAAACTCAACATTGTCAATCAATATCTGTTCCCGGGTCTTACTTACCCTCTCCAAACTGCGCCCCTAACAAAGCTGCGTCCTGCTATACTGGAGGGCATCGAGATTATGATTCGCAGGAGCGTAAAGGCCATTATTGGACTCCCTGTGAATACTTCCACAGCGATGTTGTATGCCCCCAGGAGATACCGAGGATTGGGATTAATCCGCTGCCAATGGGAGGCTCCTCTTCAACATTGGTCCATTGCTCAGCAACTGTCCAATGTACCAGATGCCCTTTTTCAGTCTACCTTCGATTATTCGGCTGAAATTGCTGAATGTGCCGAGAGATTGGGGGTCGATCGAAATTTGAAAGCTCTACGGCAGTCGCTACGAGAAAATGCATTTGAGGAATGGGCCAACTGCAGGTGGCAGGGTATTGGTGTTCGCCATTTTAAAGAGACCCCGAAAGCGAATAGATACATCTACGAAAAGCAAGTACTTTCTGGGTCTGAATGGTGGAATGCCCTAAAACTAAACATTAATTATGCACCCCTGCCTGGAGTCCCAGGAGTCATCGGACAGGTCAGAGAAGTTGGGTCCCTCTGCCATAAATGCGGCAAAGAGTCTGAAACACCAGCCCATGTGCTGGGAAAATGCCCCAATAACTCCCTCCTCATAACACGTCGTCACCACCGGGTCAAGTTCGTGTTGATGAGGCTCCTTAGGGAAAGGAAATTCACCTGCTTTGACGAGGTATATTGCATCGATAGTGAAGGCTCTACGAGATACGCGGATATCGTCTTATTTCCCAAGACAGGAAGGACAGCGCTGATCTTGGATCCAACTGTCCGCTTTGAGAGCAATGACCTCGATCAGGCGGGTGAAGTGGAAAGGGAAAAGAAGAACGCGTACGATAAATGTATTCCTTTCCTAAAAGAGAAATTCCGTGAGACCTTCGGAGAGAGAGAGTTCACCGTGAGAGACCTCTGGTTTGGGTCTTGCGGAACTATCCCAAAAAGAACAAGGAGCTTCCTCGAGGAACTAGGTGTCAACATTAAGGACGTAGCGAGGTTGGCTGAAAATATAGTCCTCGACTCTCTGGGAATCATTCACCACCACGTGCATGGCTAGCCCAAGAATTTTAATTTATGTATTTATTTATTTATTTAACGAATAATTGAAAACAATAGAGATAGAGAGAGAGAAGTGAAAGAAAGGGAAACTAAATGTTAAATAAAAAAAAGCATGAACAATAAAAGGAAGGAAAAAGGAAAAAAAATAAATAAATAAAAATGTATATATATATATATATATATATATATATATATATATATATATATATTTCACTAATATTAACTAATACTTCTGTATATTTATATATAAGTTCATATATTGTCCTAAGGATAGAGGAGTATGCTGTGTATATAGCAACCCAATATAATTGGGCAGCAATCCTTTATATTTTATAATTTATGAAAATAGAGTGTTTCTCTCTGTCATCTACAGAGTTGTCTGAAACTATTCCAGTAGGTTTTTTCCTGCTGCTGATCACGTAATGTTTGGCAGTTTTTGCGATTTTTTAAATTCTACCATAGCCAAACGTTTCCAGTTAGCCATCTGACTCGCAGGGTTTTGGCATTAGGGTTGTAATCTCTACTGTTTTCAATTTCCACACCTTCTGCAGCTGATCACGTGGTTAAATCTTCGGTAGATCCTGGACTATTTGTACTTATTCAACTGTTAATTTTAAATATAAAACTGTTCATTTAATTGTACTACTCGTTGCTCAAATTGTATGACTGTAATTTGCATGCATCCTATAATTAAAATCATATTATTTTTTTCAATATAAAATGAACGGAATTATTAGTATTATTTCATTGAAAACTCACCCTGCCAGTAAGGCAATATGGGTGTTATGCAGCAATGAGTAGCAACGCATGCGTTACAACTCACTGCTGCACTGAGACCAATTACATTTTTTTTATTTTTCAGCTGTGCACATATCTCTTTCTTCTTTTCTGCCAACGATCTCTTTCACCCTCTCTGGCGGTCTTCCGGATGCAGCTCCATCTCTTCTTTCCAATGAAAAATGGGGTGAACCAACGAGTTCCTTCCACCCTTATACGAAGGCCTTGTAGTACGGATACTTATCATTTGTCATTAGTTAAGGGAGATCGCTCTCCGTCAGAACGTAAAGCCCCGTCTCCCTCAACAACTTGGCCCTCAGTGCGTCAAAGGCGGTACAAACAAGGACGATATGCTCGGCGGTCTCCGACACTCTGCAACTTGGGCATAGGGGATCAATGTTCTTACCATATTCAACCAGCTCGGAAACCCCCATACCCTGTGAGGAAGTGTGAGACCCAGTAGTCCAGGAGAACCCGTATCTGTTCCATTCTTGAAATAACGGTGGGGAAGTATTTTCTTAGCGTAGCCCCTTTTGGCGTCGTCATCCACCGCCGGTTCCATTCTTTTAATGTGTTCTCCCGAAGAATGCTCTTCCATCTATTATGGTCAACAGGATATCTAATAATTTACTCATGATAGGGGAGAGGCATATAGGCCTATAAGACTTCCCCTTCTATTAGTTCGATTAGATCTCCAGACCGTGTTCCAGCAGTTGGTATCTGAGTATATGATCACGTTCCTGGTGCATGCCGTGATCATCTCCAAGGCGGATATGTTTTTGTCAATATCGCCTCCGCTCGGTAAATACAATGAGACCAGGATAAGACACCATTTCTCCATCTAATATGACAAGCAACACAATTCGCCATGGTAAACTGCCTCAGATTCATCGAGGTTTGTGTTGTTAACCAGAATAGCAGCTCTGGACTTCCTCTCTCCACTGCTCAAGGCTCAAACTCCACCCTCGATGTGACCAAATCCAAAAGACCAAACCCCGTGACCTTGTTGGACTGCCATGAGATCGTAGCTCTTCCGCAACTAAGTCTAAATTTGTTTATTTAGAAATATTACATTCTGTCACAATCAAGGACATTTATAATAGTGTTCAGAAAGCACACTCACACTATTATTATAAATTAAACTAACAGCTTTATAGAAGAAGGGCTAAGTTGGATAGGCAAACCCGCCTGACACGACGTCGTACGACGATCGTGGGCATTTCTAACCGGTTTTTCTAAACCGATTTTTCAAAACGACGGTTCATAATATCAGTACTAATTCCATGAACAATAAAATAAAATTGACAAATAAAGGAAATTAAAGACAAGACATTTGAAATATTAAATAACAAACTTAATCCGCGGAAACTAATTAGTAAATGAAAATGCAGTTAAAGTGTAAGAAAATAGGAATAAATATTGCAAAACAAAATACATATTATATCAAATAAAACTGAAAACATTTTAAAAAAATTAACATAAATGAAAATATTAATTTTAAACTTTATAACAATATTAATAAACCTAAAGATATAACTATCAAAGATAGATTATATAACTAGAAAGATAGAATTAAAAAGTTATAAAAAAAAAAAAAAAAAACGATATTTGATAAACAATTATTTCATTTTTTCACATTTGATCAATAACAGATTTAAGTTTCGCAATCCCACAAATACTCCAACCAACAAATTTTACATATAAAACTTCTTTTTATGTATTTTCTGTGTTTTCGTCTACTGAAGAAAAATGTTCTTCTCAATAGGAGACGTAGATAAAGGTCGTGAGTGCACGAGTTTAATGAAGATAGATGAGCAGGAGTTATTTAAAACTTATCATTCCTTACTTACTAAATTATCCAGACAAATTCAAGAACTACTACCGTATGTCGATAGAAACCTTGGATTATATTCTTAAAGGTCAAGTCAATCTAACCTCAGGAAGTGCATCAGCCCTGAAGAAAAATTTAGTATGACGAAAGTGGCTGTTATGGTAGTAAGTTGTTAAGTAGAAGAAAATATGAGTTTAAAATAGTTGAATAAAAAAAGATTGGTTTCAAATATTAAAACATACTTGAATAAAATATTATTTTTTTTTTTTTTTTTAAACTTTTGTTTATTGAAAAATATTACAATCTGTCTCTAGGACATTTATAATAGAGTTCACAGATCACATTCACACTCTATGTACAATAAATAAAATAAATTATACAGAAAAATAATACAATAAATAAGAATAAAATAACCTAAAAAAAATAAATAAAAAGAACACATACACACCTATATACAATATTTACAATTTGGCGAGAGAACTCCAAACCAGACTTGTCCCTCCAACTGTGGAATCTGGACTTACGGACTTGTAAAGGGAAAAGTATGACTCCAGGAGTTCCCTGCACTTCCCTCTCAACCGCGTCACTAGGGCTAAACCCAGTGGAGATTGAGCAAGAGTGCTTTAGCCACTTACACTCATGTCTTGAGTGGAGAATCTGGCCATTGCCAGAACTCCAATATTTACAAACTATAAAAGATGGAGGGGCCACTGCCGTTTTAAACTCCTTGGAGGATTATATGGATGGGTGGTGCTGGATAGAGATTGTGCAAAGGGATTTGGATGATGGTTAAGGTTCTGGTGGAATTTGGAGAATTTTCCTGGGATAAGGTCTAGGACAAATGGGATATTAAGGTCATAGTGTAGGGTTTTGTGGGTTACATAGAAAGGAGTATTGACTATTGTTCGAAGGACTTTGGATTGGAAGGATTGGATGCGTTTGACGTTAGAAAATTTTGCTGCTCCCCACAGTTCAAGTCTGTAAGTCCAGATAGGTTTCAGTATTGTCTTGTAGATCAGTAACTTGTTTTCAATGGAAAGTTTAGAGTTTCTGTTTAGTAGCCGGTATAGTTGTCCGTATCGTCGGTTTAGTTCCTTTCTCTTAATTCTAGTATGACGGTTCCACGTTAGTCGTCTAAGAGAAAGCCAAGGTACCGGACTGTGTCTGAGAAAGGAAGCTGAATGGAATTAAAGTGTACTGGTGGACAGGAACTGCGTCGAAGCGTGAAGGTGATGTGTTGGCATTTGGATTCGTTTACTTTAATACGCCATTTATTACACCAGTGCTCAAACAGGGTCATTGAAGTTTTAAGGATGCTATATCAGGATCTGAGTCGGATGATAGAATGGCGGTGTCATCAGCAAAAGTTGCCAGGAAGGTATCGGGATGGACAGGGATATCGGCTGTAAAGAGGATGTTAAGGACGGGACCCAATACACTACCATGAGGATCACCTGCCTCAATTGGATAGCAATTCGAAAATTCACTACCGAACTCGGAAGGTACGATCTGAGATGTAGGAACGGAGGATAAGGTATAAGAACTGAGGAAGATGGGTTTTCAGCTTGGAAAGAAGCCCGTCGTGCCCCCGGTCGAAAGCTTGAGCTATGTCCACAAATGCACCCGAGCAATATTGCTTGCTTTCCAATGCTGTGGAAATGTGATCGACCCCTCGGAGTCCTTGTTGGACTGTGGAGTGTTGTGAACGAAATCCAAACTGATGGGAAGGAAGATTTTGGGATTCTATAAAGGGTAGGATTCGTTTCAGGAGGATCTTTTCAAAGATTTTTGAGTCCTGAGAAACTAATTACCTACATGAAATGGTGTTTAACTGATTCCTAAAGTCCTTTTAAATGTAAATTACACTTACAATAAAACTTTAAGAGATATTTTTTTTTTTAAACGTGGTTATCTATTATTATTTTGAGGAGGCTTCAGCCCTAAAGTCCCCCCCTCCGTAGATCCGCCCGTGGTACCAACAAAAAAACACCTTTTAGAAATAAGATATAAGTTCTATTTTTTCTTTGAAATATTTTATTGATTCATTCATTTATTGATATTTACAACTGCTTATTGTATACAAATACAATAAGTAAATCTGCTAAAACATGACAGATAAAACATGATACAAACTTGTAAATAAACTACCCATTGGTACCACATGTAAAATTAAATTAATTTAGAAGGTCTCTGGGCCATCTTCTTTTCAGACGCATCGGAGGGTTGTCAGAAATAGTTTTGGATGAAAAATTATGAACTAGAGGGTTAGGGTAACCAAGGAGTTTGGAATTAAAAGAGGAGTATCTTATTCGGGCCAAGTCATCAACAAAGGGAATGTGAGGTCTTTCTGAATAATTTTATTTGTTTTATTTAATAAGGAGCATTAAGGATTTTACGGTTTTATACGGTAAGTATTTGTTTTTGTAGTATTGGACGGAATTTGATATAATTCAGACATGCTTGATTATCTGTTTACCAATTTCTTCTCTCAAAATTAGAGCCAAATCGAACTTGAGGTTTTAGAGAAATATACGTATCAAGGAAAAACATTTGCTCATGTAATTCAATAAAATTATAATACCTACTTTTTATCAGACTTTGAGCTAAATCGAACGAGCTATTTCTGAAATATTGATATATCTAAAAAAATACGTTTGCGCGTGCGTAAGCGGAAGTACTGGATGGAATTTGATAAAATTGATATGGGATCATTTAGGCACCAACCTGCACAATCCCTGAAAATTACATGAAAATCTGATGAACGGTACTAGGTGATACGCCCGTCACATCTATTTGACTACAGACAGGCCGGCAGACAGACACCGAAGCAAATCTGATTCTTGATGTCTGAAACGTAAAACGCGAGTGGAAATTTTCGATTCTGAGCACATCATTTTCTTTTAATCTCACTCACGAATGCAATGCTTTCCTACCTTAGGAGGAAGCAAAAAAAAATTTATAAAATAGAATTTGGACTAATTATATAACTGATTGTTATTTAATTAATTCATGTTTTATAATGATGTATTTGGAATGGAATGACACTGAAGTAATAATAATATGAAAATTAGGAACTATTGTGTACCTGGATTGTCAGAATAAAATCGTGTGAGAACATAGCCCCTAGAAGGAATAGTTATAGTATCTCTTTGCGGCTTTCGGGATATATCGGATTTTTCATCTTCTCTCAATCTGTACATCAATTGATTCAGAAATTTCGGTTTTTCCTCCCGTGAAGGAAATACGCCTTGTTCAATAACATGGAAGTTGTGGCCATGAAGGTGAAAAGAATGTCTCATAAAAGTATAATCGCCTACAAACAAAAAATAATTATTCACATCGATTTGGAGTAAATGGTTTGAGTAAGAAAATCATTCATAGCATATCTAAAATCAGGTGTTCTTTAGATATAGATGAAAACAAAATTTTATATTTTATGCTGATGTTCAAGGGTTTAAGGGAATCTTATAACTTTGAATATTATTTATGGCTATAGCAGAAAAGTATTTTAAAATTTCAGAAAGGTTTGAGAGCAAATGACCAGATAACATAAATTTTTTACTCTTTGTAAAAACTGCAATAGCTAATTTTAAAATTGGCCTAACATGGGATCCTAATTAAACCTTATATACATATTCGTAATGAAAAGAAAATAGTAAACTTTGGTAAATCATAAGTTTAACTTTAAGGAAGCACCAAACATAATGCAATGAGTTCAATTGAATAATTTTAATTGCAGTTTCAGTCAAATTTGTTTTTTAAGAAGCTCAAAAAACCGTTAAACATATGCAGAAGAAAAGGGTTCTCTATGGTTTAAGAGACTGAAGAATTTTATTTAGAATCTTTCTATAAAAGTTTTTGACCTCATCACTTATTTAAATATTTATTTATATCATTTGATAAAAATGCAGTTATTTTTTAATTATAAACAAGTTATTTCACATTCTATGTTACCTGACCTGGTCATTTAATATATTTATGCACATGTATAAGAGCTAAAATATAGTAAGAATATATATAATAAACTCACTATTGTCGTAAAGAATCAAATTGTAGAAATCTTTATTTTTGAGCCCATAGATTTTGGTGCAGTGACAAGGCTTATTGTTTGGCATATCTGGACAATCAACAGTGCATAATTTCTCTACTTCATCAAACTGGGACAGTAAATTAGCTTCAGGGAGTTTGAATGAAACATTGTTTATCATCGATAAGAACCTGGTGTCATATTTCCATTCTAAAAAGAGATACATACTATATAATGATTAATAAATACAAAGTATATTTCTGAAATTTATAAAGGATTAGGAGTGTAAATATTGAAAAAATATTTATAATATTATAAAATATAATTTTTTAAATGTTTACATAAAGTTGAAAAATGGTATTCACTAATTTTATGATACTCAGTTATTTTTTAGTATCTACTTAGTATTGGTGAATCAGCATGTTTTAAATTTGACCAAGATTCGGGTTAAACATATTAAAGAGCTGTTTATTACATACAGAGATGGACAAATGCCAAAGTTAGTACTGAGTCCCGAGTATTTTACTCAACTATATACCTTTCAATTATGAATACGGTACTCAGATATTCAACTTGTCCCAATCTGAGTATTTTACTCAAATGTGAACTGCCCAACTTTAACTCTTTTACTCAAATAGTTGACCTGCATCACTTTGAGTACTTTACTCATGCCTCATTATAAATTATAGTTTCAAGTACCATATGCCTATAGTTAAATATATTAATAGATGTGCCATTGTTCTAATTACATAAATATTTTAAAATATAGACTTATTATTTAAAATATTTCGGAATTCTTTTTACTTTCACTTACCTATATAAATTGATCAACCTCATCAGGACTTTAGAAAAACACAAATCACCATCAAGAAGCAGCAGCCTCAAATTCAGGCGCCGCAGATCTCCCAATGCAATCCTCATTCTCTCAATCCCCAATCTCATCCTCCAAGTCAGCAAATTCTCCCTGATCATATATCCTTACGAGTCAAATTACCGCCGCAGCATCCTCAACAGTCCCATCCTAACGCCCAGAAAAAAACTGCAGCACAAGTACCTTCCAATCTAGACCCACCTTGTGCACAACGACGGATCCCACCCTCAGCTAACACTCCTAATCCACCACAAGAACCTTTCCTGAATCCAATTCACGATCAACAGCCATCTGACATAACTTCCATTCTATCATCATTTATCATAATTATCATGAGCAGAAAGGGAGATGATGTAGGAGTTGAATGATCGAGATCTGAAGGTAGCTAATTCTTGTTTTAAATGTTTACAGTAATAATTATGTAGGAGTGGCGGTCGACGGGATGTCTGGCACGTTGCCATGGTAATCTGGCACGGCGTGTTATACGGATTAGATCAAGGAGGTGTTGAGGTAGATTGGGTTTCTTGAGAATCTTCGAGAAATGATCAGGAGAGGTAGCCGTCCAGACTGCTTCCTGGATTTTAGTGGAAAAGAAATGAACGGCATTGTCATAGTCTTCGTGGGTTTTCAGCGTTGCGCTGAGGTCAATTTTAGAGCAAAGGATTTTACCAAAAAGATTCCAGGTAACGGGGCCTCTGATGAAGAATGGTGGTATAGGAATAGGAGCTAGCGATACTTGGAGTAATAATGGGCTGTAGTCTGAGGAAAGCCCATCAATACGTGTAAGAAGAATCGATAATAACAGTATAAAACAGTAAGAACAATAGCGAAAAAAAAGTCTCGTGGGCCAACACAAAACTACTAAAGCTAGTGAAAGATTACAAATGAATTTTTCATTGAATAATTTGAGAAATACTATTGCATAATATTAATAAAGAATATTCATGATGAACAAAAAACCTCATTCACATTGAAAAACAAATAGAACAGGTTTCAAAACGACTTTCGTTAATACAGAGGTTAGGTGGCTCAAAATGGGGAGCAACGAGGGATGTTATGGCTCTTACCTACAAAATATATGTCCACCCTGTTATTTAATATGGAGCAAAACTTGTTATCACTGCTTCGGACGTGATATTACACAAGCTCGACATAATCCAGAATCAAGCCCTTAGACTCGTGACAGGAGGGAGCAGATCAACTCCAATATCTGCACTAGAATTACAAACAGGCATCGTGCCTCTTGAGACACACCGGGAGTAACTGGCCATTACGCTCTATGAAAGGCTAAAACGTCTTAAGATCAACTACTGGAGTATCTATGAACCCGCACCTTATTTTTTATTTTTTTTTTTTTATTCCTTTATGACATTTACAACTGTATTACATAAATACATCAAGTAAATTTGGACATTATTGATATAATGACATGAATACACTTGCTGAGTAACTACCCAATGGTAGCACTCTAATGATATGACTACATTAGGAGATCACGGGGCCATCTTCTTTTCAGACGCCTCGGAGGGTTATCAGGAATTGAAGAGGAAGCAAGGTTAGAAACGAGAGGATTGGGATGATTCTGAAGTTTATTATGGAAGGATAGGTATCTGGATTGGGCCAGATCTGAAACATAAGGAACATTAAGATCTTTATGGATAATTTTATTAGTGACAAAGTAAGGAGCATTGAGGATTTTACGAAGGATTTTGGATTGTAAGGATTGGATGCGAGAGGAATTCGATGGTTTAGTGGAGCCCCATAGCTCAACTCCGTAAGTCCAAATAGGTCTTATTATAGTCAAGTATATAAGTCTTTTGTAATTAATGGGAAGTTTAGAGCGTTTGTCTAGTAAGTGCTGAAGTAATCGGAAACGTCGAGCGGTTTCTTGTCGTTTCAGTCTAGTATGAGGATTCCAAGTTAGTCGTTTGTCCAGGTGGAGTCCTAGGTATCGGATTTGCTCAACAGGGATAAGTGGAGTATTGTTAAAGGAAACTGTAGGACAGGAAGTCGTTGGTTTACGACGAAGGGTAAAGGTAATTTGGTGGGATTTATTGGAGTTTATTTTAATTCTCCAGTTCTGACACCATTCTTCTAGATTTATGATGTGTGATTGAAGCATTTGGGATGCAATTGCTGGGTCATTGTTTACTGATAGGATACATGTGTCATCGGCATATGTGGTGATGACAGTGTTGGGACAGGTAGGGATGTCAGCTGTATAAACTGTATAGAGGATAGGACCTAGGATACTACCTTGAGGAACACCAGCAGACTGGGAAAAAAGGGATGAATAGGCGTTATTGTGATTTACTTTAAAGTATCTATCAGCAAGGTAGGAACGGATAATGAGGAAGTATGTAGGTGGTAGGAATTTTCGGAGTTTGTACAGCAGTCCCGGGTGCCAAACTCTATCAAACGCCTGTTCAACGTCGAGAAAGACTCCCGTACAGTACATTCCGCGCTCCAATGCAGAGGAGACTACGTCTACCACACGATGACATTGCTGTATAGTGGAATGGGAAGTTCGGAAACCAAATTGGTGATCTGGGATTATGTGTTTAGAATTTAGAATAGGGTACAGGCGTTTTAAGATGAGTTTTTCTAGGATTTTGCCCATGATGGGTAAAAGAAAGATAGGACGGTAAGAGGATGGGTATTCTGGTGGTTTTTTGGGTTTGTGGATAATTTTAACAATAGATCGTTTCAGATCGTTTCCAAAGATCAGGAAAATATGTAGAACGGAGTACAGCATTATATATGTAAGTAAGGAATAGGATGGCTTTTCGAGGAAGAAGTTTTAGGATCTGGGATGTAATTAGGTCATGTCCAGGAGCTTTACGGGAAGGTAATTTTTGAATGATGTTGGATATTTCTATGGGATGAAATGCTTTGGGTGGCAGAGACATTTGGAGAGAAATATCCAGTTCTGCTTCAATACAATTGATGTGAGATGAATTAAGGATATCGGGATGTCGATTAAAAGTTTGGAAAAGATGTTGATCAAATAGTTGGGCTTTTTCTTCGTCTGATTTAGACCAGGTTTGGGAATCAGTAAGTAGTGGGTGATTAAAGTCTTGAAACTTAAGAAGTTTTTTGGTGGTCATCCATAATGATTTGTCAGTGGTTGTAAGTTTTTCAGTAAAATTTAGTAAAGTTTGAATTTTGTATTTTCTAATTTCTGATTTCAGTTTGTTAGTCAATTGTGTGTAATGCGATTTATCTGTTGGGTATCTAGTCCTATGCCACTTCGATCTTGCTCTGCGTTTTTCCTGTAATAAGATACGAATATGCTGTGGCAAGTTAGTATTTTGTGGGAAGTTAATTTTATTGATAAAGGTGTTATTATTTATACTGTCTGTTATTGATGATGTCAGTTTTTCTATGGCAACATTAATGTCTTCTTTTGTTTTTAGCGGGATTTTGAGGTCTAGTTTGTTTTCCAGATCATCACTAAATTTGTCCCAGTTTACTCGTCCAGTGATCAGTTTAGGAAGTGATGGTTTAGGAGAATGTAACGAAAGCAGAACTGGACTATGGTCTGAAGAAAGGTCATCCAGGGATTTGATTATAGTTTGGGAGGAGGAAATCTGGGAGGTGATAAATATGTCCAGGATATTGGGACGTTTTTTGAGGGATGTTGGAAAATAAGTAGGATTCATGGGCGAGAGGATGGAATAATTGTTGGAAGAAGAAACTTGTGAAAGGGTATTACCACGGGAGTTGGATGATCGACAACCCCATCGTTGGTGTTTAGCATTGTAGTCTCCTCCAGCAATATAGCGCGATCCGAGGGATTGTAAAAAGGATTCAAGTAGGCTATACGAGAGGGAATTGCCAGGACAGTATACAGCTGAAAGTGTTAGATGGAAAGGACGAGTTGAGAGGATTACAGAAGTTGACTGAATGGCATCTGTTGGAATAGAAGGAATAAGGGAATGGGGTAAAGATTTGTGGATAAGGATGCAAGAACCGGCGTGGGCAGTGTTGTCTGGGTGGTCAGATCTATAGGTAATGTAGTCACGTATGTAGAAATGTGTCCGTTGGGTGAAGTGAGTTTCTGTTAGGAGGGCAATGTCAATATAATTGTCATGGAGAAATATGTCTAGTTCGTCACGGTGGTTTTGCAGTCCATTAGCGTTCCATAAGAGAATAGCTAGGGACTTTGAGTTCATCGAGGGAAGCTAAGCGGGATTTCGGAAAGGAGTCTGGTTAGAAGGGTTATGAGCGGTTTGATAGTCTGTTGAAGATCTATCAGGAATGACGATAAGATAGTGTTGATGTCGGATGGTGTTTGGCTGGGATGTGGGTTTGGATCAGGAGGTTGTGATGGGTAGGT